AAAAAAAATGTATTTAATGCTACATTGAAGCCTTCCCATCACTTTACTTGAATGGATTATCTTCATAAATAAAAAGCTGTACATATTACATATCTTCAAAAATGTCTTTACAATTTGGTCAAGATGCCCTATTTCATTTTTCACCTGATACTATGTATGCATTAACATGCTCGGTAAATAATGTGCATGCATGCTTCTCGCACACGTCTTTAGCAAATGGTGAAGATGGAGTTACTTGGGTCCAAGTGTCAAGAGTACAAAGGTTATAATGGGGTTGAGTTTAACCAGTCTCACAGAAAAAAAAACACATTCCCTTGACAATATTTCTAGTGGAGCCAGTGCAAAGTCTGAGGTAATATTCTGTGTCTTTTGGCAGTTAAAGGAGATGATGAGGGAAGGCTACATGTGACCCCCGTGTCTGTCAGAAGGTGGCGGCGGCGGCGGTGGCGGTGGTGTCAACGGTGGTGGAAACTCATCTTCGTCCCTCTCTTGTGTGGCGGGTGCATCTGCTTGCATGAAGGAGTCTGTGGAACGAGTACTGATACGTAGCGGGGCGAGGCGCCGCAGGTTGCTGGGTGTCCACGGCAGCCTCACTTGGGCCCTCTGCGAGGGGGCCACCATGCCGCTATCGAGCTCAGCCTCGGCTAACCACGGTGGGATCTGCATGGGCGCCATATAGTCCAGCTCTGGCATGAAGGCAGGATTCTCAATACCAGCTGGAAATTGACAAAATGTTTTAGTTTTTTTCCCCCCCAAGTGTGGAAACAAAAAAACAATTGAGCTGATGGATTCATTTTACCTCCCACTCTGTAGGTGACCCTCATGGCGAGTGAGTCTCCTGATGCTTCATAGCCAGATGCGCTGTCTCCCTCTGAGAACTCAAAATCTAGAACAAAAGATGTTGTAAACGTCACGTGGAACTACGTATGATTTTCATTATTTTTATTTTGTCGCTGTGTGGAGCTCTGATACGAACCTTCATCACCAGAATGATAGCTTTTGCTTTTATCTGTTGATTTTCTGGATGGCATCTG